CTCACTAAGCCTCCACCCCTATCCATCCCTTGTTCCTATCCCTACCTCTCCACCACCACCACCCACACACACACAAATACCCACCTACCTTGATTAGAAAAGAAGAAAGATTTGTGGTCCTCAGTCTGAGAAGCCGAGGCTGGTGCAGGCCCCTCACATCCTCTGCATCCCAAGTCTGGCCATGGCGACCAACTCAGGGGCCTCGTCCCTGCAGTCCCTTCATGGGCTTCTACTCAGCCTCCAGGCAACAGCCCCCAGGCCAAGGGCCCAGCCCTTTCCTGACCTGTCCCACCAGCTACATCCCGGGCTGGACTGGGCTTTGGGGCGGGGAGGGGCTGGCTTTTCAGGAGTGGGCGGCAGTGAATGGCTGCTCTGAGCCTCTGGAATCCCAAAGGGCCATGGAAGGCTTATAACAGCCAGGCTGGGCTGCCCTGGACTCAAGGCCACCTGGGGTGTCATACCCTGCTGCCTGCCCTCTCCAAATCTGCTCTGTCACCCACAGACTCTGACCCCTGGAAAGATGCCTCCAGTAGGAAGAAGGATACTCCACATATGGCCACACTCAGGTGGTCCCAGAGGTGACTTTCCCTCTGCATCGCCCCCATACCGTTCAGTTCTGTGATCCTCAGACCCTCTTGCTCACCCACCTGAGGTCTTTCCTCAAGCAAGCTGAAATTTCTGGAGGCTAAAGGATGGGCTGTCTGATTCAACAACTATCCCCTGAGCCCCTCTTTGCTCCAACTGGTCCCTGTACGAAGGCCCTGAGGATGCAAAGATAACCCAGCCCTGGGCCTGTGAAGACTCACAAGGCCACCCAGCCTGGCTCTAGCATTGTGGGCTGGGCACCCTCTTCTGCTTCTGTCATAGCAATAGTAATCATAAAGATGGTGATAATAATAGCTGTCATTTACTGAACACTTACTAAGTGCCAGGGCTGTGAAGGAGCTCTCAGTCTGCTCAGGAAGATGAGGGTGTAAACAGATCCTTACAGCAACTACAAGACAACAGTGAGGGGAGGCAACATCCTGCCAGCACTCACTCTGAGACAGGAACTAGGCTAAGCGTTCTCTCCGCATCGCCTTTAATCTTTGCCTTATCACCTGCTTTTTGCTGATGTGGTCTGGTCTTTTTTTCCTGCGTGTTGCTCTCCTTAGCGAGGGAGCCACGCTGGCCAATAGAACTTTCTGCGATAATGGAAATATCCTATACCTGGGCTTTCCAATGCAATAGCCGCTAGCCACAGGCGGCTATTGAGCCCTTAAAATGTGGCTACAGTGACCAAAGGACCGAACTGTTTATTTTATTTCATTTTAATTAGTGGCTATCATATTGGACAGCACAGTTCTGGATTTTATTCTCTGGGTCCCAGTGCCTGGCAAGAATCAGCCTCAGTAAATTTCTATAGAATCAATAAATCAATGAATGAATAGTGAGTGTGTGTGAACCTAGGACCTTCCCCTATTTTTATCCATTCTCTCATTTGAGCTATAAGTTTTCAAACTTGTCTGTGAGCTGGTTCCCAGGGCAACCTGCGAGCCATCCAGCAGATGGGGGAGGGGAGCTGTCTGGAATTCTTCCCTTTTCCCTTTTTGCTTTGAGACCTGAGGACCAACCTGACTTGAGAAAGAGCAGAGGGGCCTGGAAGAGGCGGTGCGTTCTACCTGGACAGATTGGGTAGGGGGAAACTTTACTGGCCGCCACACACACACACACACACACACACACACACACTAGACTGCATTCTCTCTGAGATGCAAAAACCCTGAGCTGCAAACGTCCACTTTGGCCAATAACTCGTTGTGCAACTTCTATGAGATCACTTGCCCTTCTGGGCCTCAATTGCCTTTTCAAATAGGGACCAGATGCCCTCATGTCGTCTGTTCTAGCTTGAAGATCTAGAATTCATCTGGCTCCCTGCCAGGCCGTTAGGGCCTTGAGAGCAAGGAATGAGTCTCATTCATCTCTGTTTGCCCTGCCTGTCCGCTGTCTGCCTGCTCTCTCCTAATGTAGAGGAGCCTGGAGGACATTGCCTGCCCAGTAATTACTACAGGCCTGGGTTCAGCTGCCCTCTAGTGGCTCAAAGTAGCAATGACCTCCTCTTATCTGGACACAGTTTTTTCCCACCGAAAGATTGACAGGACTCCAAGTGGCCTGGAAGGGCAGACCTCCACCCAGGCCAAAAATCATTGTGGTGGCCTCCCAGACAAGTGGCGCACACAAGCTCTGGAGTCTCAAACTTAGGTTGGTTACAGCTGTGTGATTTTAATAAGTCACCATCTCTCTGAGCTCCAGTTCCGTCATCTATAAAATGGGGATTATATCAGTTGGGGTTAAATTATGCTACAGTAACAATTCCAAAATCCCAGTGGCTTATAACAATGAAGGTTTATTTCTCATTCATGTTTCATGTCCACTGTGGTTTGGGTCAGCTGAGACTCTGCTCCATGTCATCTTTTTTCTTTTTTTTTTTTNTAAGTATGGTCCACCTCCAGCACTCCCCCACCCCCACCCACAGCAGCCCAGCTCATCGCCAGCCAAGCTCTTCGCAGTTACCTCTGGTCTCTTTGGCCAGGTCTGTGGCAGCATCTGTAGAATGGTCCAGGGCTGGGGTTGTGCTTCCGCTTGACATCAGTGGACAGGTGGCAATGTCTGATGTGGTCAGGTTAATGACCCTGTCCAGTGTGGTCTCCCCAGTGGCTGGGTTTAGGGTGACCGGCACAACTGAACCCGTGGCTGTGCCCTGCCTGCTTGTGCCGAAAACAAGAGATTCCATAGTTATGTGCAGCCTGGCTGGATTCACTCTAGCCAAAGCCAGGGCCGTGTCCGGCCTCGCTGTGCCCAGCTTTTCCAGGTCTGGGGCTGCCAAATCCACAGCTGGGGCCCCTGTGGTTGTATCTGGCTTGACTGTGCCGGCTGTAGCTATGGCTTTGCCCAACTTATCTGGGTCTGGGGCTACTGGGTCTTTGACTGGGCCCCGCCTGGCTCTGCCTGCTATAGCCAAGTCCGTGGCTGTGCCCAGTTTGCTACCCAGAGCAGGGAACCCTGTGCCCAGTCTGGATGTGTTTGGTGTGGCTAAGTTGACAGCCAAGCTAGGTCTGTTGGTGGCCATTGTGGCTAGATGTAAGGCTGTGCCTGGTCTCGTTGTGTCCAGAGTAGTCAAATCCATCGCCATCGCAGGCCCCGTGGCAGGAGTGGCCCTTTGGAGGTGCAGCCGGGGTCTTGGGATCCCTCTGGCCCGGGACTTGCCTCTTCCTGGGGAAGCTCTGGTAGGCACAGGGGCAGTCATTGAAACAGGGTGCCTCTGACCCACTGAGCCTGGCCCTGCAGGGTCTGGTGGACTCTGGGCCAGTCTAGATTGGAAAGGTAGGGCCAGGTAGGAACTCACCAGGGGCTTCTCCACTACTGGCATCCTGCTGGGTTTGGCCAGACCTGGGTTCCCTGGGCCCTCAGGGTGGACCCTGCCCCCTGGCACTGGTGCCACAGATGGTGGGTCTGGGGTGGGCAGCCTCCCTCTTCCGTGGGTGGCAGCCTCCCTGCCCAGGGTGGGCACCCCTTCCCAGTGAGAAGGTAAGGGGCGCAGGGGCCATGCCTGGCTGTTGTGATGGAGTGTTAAGGAGATGGCGCTGAGCTTCCTAGGCCTGAGGCTGTTTCCAGTCTCCTGTGGGGGCACGCTCCGGGCCATGGCTCCGAGGCTCGGTCGGCTGGAGGCCTGTGGGATGTGGCTTTGGGAGAAGGCATCCAGACGGATGGTTTTCCTGAGGACGGGGATGAGAGGTGACACCCCTCCAGGGAGCTTTGAGGGGTGGGCAGGGCGCCCCGGCAGGTGGCTGTGGGAGAAGGAGTTTCCAGGCCCCGGGGCTCCGTGCGGCTGCATCTCAAAGTCGTGGTCCCTCCAGGTCTTTCATCTTCCCCTGAGACAATCAACAGAGACAAGGGGCCAAGCAGGGGTGAGGTGCTCCAGCCTGGATGTACCAGCCCTCCACCTCCTGACCAGCAGCTAGCACTGCCAGGTATGAAGGGGCCTAGTTTGGGGGACTGTCAAACCCTCAGAGAAGTACATATGTCTCTTACTCCAGTCCTCCTACAGCTCCACCTGTCACATCCCTTCACACACCTTACATGCATGGGCCCTCTCACACACACACCTACCTAGGTGCCTCACAGGTGGTGCAGAAGAACATTTCAACAATGGCGGCATTCAGTGAACGGGCTGCTCCTTGCACAAGGGAACTCAGTGGGGGAGGACGGAGTACTTCTCCCTTTGCCTGGGCCTGAGTGTGGCCCTGCTGTCAATGGACAACTCCATGGAGGTCACATTCACAAGCTCAAGGACCCTGGAGAAGGGTGGTGGTTATCAAAAGCCTAGCTACCTCTGCCCCTGGGGTCCCACCCACATCAGCCAAAATAGGAGTCAGACGTCCAGGCAGGAGGCTGAGGGATGAGCAGTTTGGCTTGGGAACAAGGTCTGCATCTGGGGCTCCTGCCCAGAACCAGGAAAGAGCCCTGGGTGGGCCTGCTGCTGGAGCCGGAATTAGAGCCAGAGCTGAGGAGGGCCCTGGAGAAGGCCGGGCGTAAGTGGAGAAGCAACAAGTGCTGGCAGGAGGACACTTGTCCAGTGAACAAGCCCAGTGATG